TACCCACAATTTTCCAAATAATCATATCCGCCATTCCTCCGGCACAGATCCAGGCAGATCGCGTTTACAGAGGATTCGAAAGCAGTTTTCCCTCCAGAGACCGTACAGTTCTTCGCATATTGGCTAACTCAAATAAAACTTATATGAGGATGATCCAGCCACAATCTATCTCGCAATCATCGGTCATTGCCCCACCGGGAGTCCTATTACTGTTTAGCCCCGTCACGGAGAAACGGATTAAAAAACCCGAGAATCAACATGCATATGCCCAGAGGGAAACTGTTTCCAATTTCCTTGTACCGCTTCACAAGTGTATTTCATTCGATCAGGCCGACACGAAGTGATAACTGAAATATGTTCCGAAGAATCAAGTTCTCTATTGTTGTTATCATTGTGGTCCGTCCCGCTTTTACCGCTGATAGCGTATACAATAGGACTGGTCTAGGGATATATATATTTGATATTAAACTGACATATAGCGACACTACTTCACATACAGCATATTGCCAAAGAGCACGCGACGATGGTCGAGCCGAGAGAATGTCACACAGAAGACCGACTGGAGCACGTACCACCATATCGAGTCTAATATGTAGAAATCACCGTTTTCGCACTGCTTTATCAATTTTTGCGGAAGGAACAAGAGACCCTCACTATGACGGGATGGGTGTTTACCGTTGGCCGCTACTTCACCGCCCGGGAGTCTCCCGTACTGACCATCAACACGCCCTCACAATCAACACGCCAACACACCACCGACTCACCGTCGAAACCCTGTATCTCCCTACATCCGGTCAAATTCTGCTGCCACCGCCAGCCAATAGAGACAAGCATTCACACCAATGGACTACTTTGGATTTCAGCCGCCACCCATATTGGCCGCCCCGCTATCAGCCATGACTCGATGCTCTAATTCACACTACGTGGAAAAGGATGCCCATTCTCGAAGCTCAGGGCGTGATTGAGCGCTACAAAGTGCAACTTTCGAACCAGAGCCATGTACGGTGGCACTTACGTAGCAATACGAAGTCATTTTATACTATGTATTGTTGGACTCTCAATTCCTATTGGGTTGTTTGGAGCAGGTCTTGGGGCTTCTCCCAGTTCTCAGACAGACCCGAATACTAGTCTTTGACACCACGAAGAGGTGCCTGGAACCGCCAGAGGATCTGCATGAGGACCGCGGTGCCACGGGTCGCCTAACAAGCACAAATTTGATAACGCAGAGCTCAAGGCTGCATGGAAGCTCAAAGTTATACAATCACAGGGCTCAGTGCTGCGAGGGGTACTTGGTGTCGTAGCGGTCTCCTGCTGAGGCTCTTCATATCACAGATGTCCCTGCGGAGCACATTTCGACAACGGAGGTCTCAGTGCTGTGAGGGAGCACATTCTCCAATCACAGGGCTCATGGGCTGTGGGGGAGTACGCCCTCACAGTCACAGGTCCCACCCGTCTGTGAGGGAGAACTTGCTGATGCAGGACTCTCCTTAAACGGGTCTCAATTGGTAACGCAGCGTCCCCCTGCCGGTGCTTCGTCATCTCAGATGGCGACTGCGAGGGGTCACACCATGAACGCAGAGCCCGTCCTGCGAAGAACACTTGATATCGTAGATCTTATCTTGCAACAAAACACCCGAGTGGCTCGGGAGTGCGAGGAGGAAAGTCCTGCTCTCTCTTCTCCACAGGAAAGGTGCGTCTTTAATGCCATTTCGGGTATGTTTTTCGGCAGCGACTACTTGTGTACATCTTGCCGGACCCAGAGATTTCCACTCGCCATTCGTAGGGACGGCCGCATTTTCGCCGGGCGTTGAGGCGGTTGATTCAACGTCGCAGTAAGAATTTTAGACTTCGGAGCGGTGGAGGACCCCGAGCCGTAATGGCCTGTCAGTAAGTTGAGGCCCCTTAGCTAGGTGCGGCGTTGCAGGGTCAGTACATAACTGTTCATTCCTGAGGCCGGCAATTCCCGGAGCCTTACGAGAGCCGAGGGGAATGTTGATCAAGAATCGGACTAGTGCGATATTTCGAACCCCGAAATACGGGGATCTAACATATAGGCTGGAGCCTGTGATCACATCGAAATATCAATGGTTAGGATCTTTCTTTACCTAACCAGACCAGTTACTTCGCATTGTGGTCTCAAGTTATCGACTGGATACAACTTAAAACCGGTTGTCCGCCTAAAGTGCGATGGGTTCTATTCCTGCTTTCGCATCTAAGAGTCTGCTATTCCCAAAATAATGTCGGCATCGTCAGTTTTGTTTTCTGCTGATGTACTGGTACGTACAGTTTACTGCCAGGCGGGCCAAAGATGATGCTGATAGCTTCTGCTCCACCAGATTTTTCCCAACCAATCTCACGATACCGCCGCTATGCTACCTCCTCGAGCGCGGGTGATTATGCCTCAATTCGACATCTATATACCGATGACTTTTAGTTCGCGCAATCATTCGCCATGCATCTCGCCGCATTCGCAAGCCTTGGAAAATTAGAAAGGGAGAAAATAATCGATGCAGCGCCCGCTGTTTCTCCTGCGAGATCAAGGGGCAGGGTTCAATCAAGCAAACTGACCTCGAGGCCCCCGTGCCTGCGAGTCTCTTCAATATAGGTTCGTCACATAGACCCTCAGAAATGGTTCCATTGCGGCAAACGGACTTGTCTTTCAGTGGATATTCAATCTACATTGTGTTCGTGGACCCTTGGCGGAGCAAGAAATTTTTCCCACTGTGATTGAAAGGTGCCAATCCATCTCACCCTTTCTGCTCTTTCCCATACGACATGGTGTCTCCCCATGGATAAATTTTGATGGCTTCTCTGTTGAGCCAATGGAAATAGCATGGAATCGAGCCGCCCACCGGCTCGAAAGCAAGTGCCTCCACGTTTGAAGAACAGGCAACATCCAATTCATGTGATCAAGTGGAGCACCAGTTTCAGATGCTACAAAGAATTCCCATGGCGAATCTAACTTGCCAGAGCTACCGCTAAACTCTAACAAAGTCGAGCATATCAAAACACCATTGAAGAGTCTCTGGACCAAATGCACACAAGACTCGTGGAAAACGGGGCTATGGTCTCTCTTCTTGGAGGCTTTTATCTGCATATTGGACCATGAATCAGATCTTTCAAAGAAGAATGGCCATGCCGGGGAAATCAAAGATGGAGATGATCCTATCACAGGGTTTTTGAACCTCGTCTGTGTAAAATTCAAACGACTTTCATCTGCTCTCCCCTCTAATGCGGTCCAAGGCCCGGGAGGGCTCAATCATTTTGATCTGTTGTGAATGGATTCTCTTGAGACATTGCTCTTCTCATGCTTCGGGACTGTCGTTCGCCGAAAATGGCTAGCCAGTCCAGCGCAGGAGCTGTACTATGTGTCACGAGAAGGTGTTGAAGACTTTCAACCGCTTCCATTGAATGGTGCAAAGCCGTGGAAGGATCTTCAGAAGATGGTTTTGCGCTTCTGGCCTCTTGGACATTTCAATGCGGATTCATTGTCAATGTAGATACTGGATACGGCACTTCCCTGGCCAAAGTATCTGATATTCGATGCCGGACGATGGACGCTATATCGTTGTGTATACCTGGCTCACAAAAGAGACGAAAGCAGCGGAAGAATTTGAAGTTGATGGCAAATTATCCACGCGTGATCGAGCGTACCTCGATAAAAGGTGGCCTTTGGGAAATCGCTATAGATACATGCTGAGCACTAACCGAACAGTAACTCTTTGGGATACGGCCATCGGCCAGGCTTCAGAGGAAATGACTACCAACCTCTGTTGCAGTGCAATCGACAGCAAAACGCCTACTTCGTGGAGGATCTGGAGTATTGAGAATCCACGGTACAAGTGGATGAAGAGGATCCTCATCCATGAGCCTCATGAGCCTCGACTGGAAGACACCAGAGAATGATGAATACCATAAACCCAATGAATTTCTGTCTTATATTGTAAAATACTCATTTCAAAATTCAATTATCAACAACGTCGACGTAGCTGGGTTGATGAGAATAAGAAGGAAAGATGAGCAGAGCGAAAATGGTTCGTGAATGAAGTTTTGCGTCCTTGGTTACCATAGGGGCAGTGATATGTAAAGTCACGAACAAGAGCTCGCTCCAAAGACGCTGAATGCGGACTCGCCACGCACGCTGAACAGATGCTCAGGATGCAATTTGGTCTTTGCTCTGTGCCACGCGTACACTGCTTCCCGTGTCTTGGAACGGGCAAGGATATGTCCAATGAACGCTCGAACCATTCAAAACATACCGAACGTGCATTAACGGGCAGATATTCATCCAGGCCGTTGGCCAGGAATTCCGAAATCGCCATCAAGGACTTTGATGTAGTAAAATCCTTCGCTATGAGAAATCCGCCTCGTAAAGTGAAGGTCATGCATGGAGAGATGCTGCGGGAATGTGTATTGCATGCGATGAATTTGTTTCCACGACCACGCAACCTTCCAGCTGCTGCACAAGTCGGACCAATCGTCCACGCTGGCCATCAACGGCCTTCATAGCCATCAAGTTATGGATAGTGGGAGGATAAAGCAACCATATTTTGCGACAATCTCCAATTGGAACGGAAAGTCCGTCTGCTCCGTAGTCTGTCCATTGTTAGCCCTGTCGTTGCCATGAAAATACGACTTACCAACGTGTAAGTCAACAAAGGAATATCGCGGCGTTAAGTTGGCTTGTTCATTCGACTCGTGGAACGGCTCGAAAAATTTGCAAACACTGTGAGGAACACGCAGCCCTAAATCATCTATGGTTGGTAACCGCAAACCGGTCAGGAAGGCAGGCTTATTCGGGTCAGGGTCCACAAGCTGAGACACCACAATTAAAGGGTCAACGGTCTTGTCAACCTCCCCTTGATAATTCACGTGGAATTGGGTTTCGGGTTTGTGGGCCGTTGCAGCACGATTACCGGCCTGTATTTTTTGTAACGTTGCCATGACCAATTTACGAATGGAAGGGTGCTCGATCCCTCCAGCTCTGGGAGGAATCAACCAGATGTGGTATGAATGATGTCGATGAAAGCCAGAGCGACCGGGTTTTCTCTGTCATTGTTTCCAAGGTACATGGTTCCGATATCGAGTTAATCCCAGAGCTGGAGCCGAAGTCATGCAAAACTTCTCGGAGCATTGGTTCCAAATTTCTTTGCGAGGTGGCGGTAGGCCGCTGTAGCGCCAAAAGGGAATGATTTCTGGGGTCACTGGTGGCCTGGAAATCGAAGAATCTGATAAAATTGGGAGACAGAATGGTGATCTGCGTTTTGTCAGAAATGTTTACTGTTCGAAGTCAAACGATACGGACATTATACCAGCCGCACCTGCACGATGCGGCTCAACGAATATGTTTTTTCTCCGGTACTTGTCCTGCCGAAGATGTTTTCGAAGCCGGCTGGCGTTTGAAAATAGGTTTCCGCAATAAGGGCAGATGCGCATGCAAGAAGACACCTCGCATTTGGCATTTTCTCGGAGCCAATGGCGATAGACCTCGTGATGTGAAAGGCAGTGGCAACCAGGACGCAATTTCTGCTCTATTCCATGGAGCTGGAGCGGGAGAGGATGGGGGACGATTGGGGGACGATTGGGGGACGACTGGGGGACGATTGGGGGACGATTGAAGGATGATTGAAGGACGATTGAAGGACGATTGAAGGACGATTGAAGACTGGTCCGAGCTTAGAATGTTGGAATATGTGGAGCTTTGTTTTGTCATATGTTGTATTTAGGAACGTGATTGTAATATTTGGTAGATAGTGTCAGGATAAGGAATTGATGTACTGGCTAGTACTGAACATGTCCCATAGAATCATATGATTGATTAAAGATGAGAGTGGTTGAACACTCGTGAGAGTCTGTATCATCTAGTTTTGGTGTGTTACGACACCATACTCCGAGTCTATACTGAATACCACACGAATACGTGGGGAATTGGGCGGACGATGAACATCCCACCCAAAAGCGTCTTAGTGGTATTTGACCACTCTTTCCGCTCGACATATAATAACAGATATCATGGCTCTTGTAGACTGGCTTCTTTTGGAAAGAAAGCATGACCCTTGACTCTTACATAGATTATACGCTATGCAAGAATGGAAGCGAGGGCATCTCATGAAGGCAATTATCTGTTGAGGGCGTGTTTGCAGCATTTTGAGGAAAAGGGTTTATCCCGGCTGAGGGCTTTTAGACCTTGACCCTCTTCATTACGACGTATTTAATGAGTATTGAGCTTACCGTTCTTGACGGCTGCTGCACAGCCATATTCTTTTTAGTTCCGAGCCTGTAAATTTTGCTGTGTAATGTAATGTAATACATACGTTTTTGTTTATACGATACACCCGCACCGAAAGGCATGTATCTATCTTTCCAAGACTCAAAAACGAAGGGCCTAGCTTTTGTAATGCATAAACGCGGACAACGCATATGAAGTGGCCGAGAAAAATAACCAGTAAAAATTTTACAAGTAGATTTACGAACGGAACCTGACAGTCATGAAATATGCCCGGAAATATCGTTCTCGGTATTTTGAACAGTATTAAAACTCAAAAATTTTAAACGTAACCAATTTTGGAAGATTTAAACTTCAATTTTTCTGATTATGTGAACCAAATGTGCAACAGGCCCTCCTATTTAGTCTGTAAATGAATAAAAGGATAAAATTGAAACATCGAAAGTAATTGTGATGCTCGGGCGTCGAAAAGTCGCCTTGGAATTATCAGGTAGTTGTGCTACCAGACGTTTATGAACTTCTTCTCGACTCTTACGAATGATATCAAATTATTCTTGTCATAACAATGCAAGCCATTCTAAATTGTTCAGTCCCTTTGACAGTCAGGCAACTGAGCAATTTAGGATGCCACCCCTATAATAAAGACGATTTTCACCCTCCTGCCGCTGAGGACTATGGTCAAGCCACTCTACAGCCACCCTTTGATAGAATGACAACTTCCGATTCCAATAACTCTGTTAGCTATGATTGGAGCTACTCGCTCTGGGCCTGCTGCAACCCAGCAAAAGCTTGTAAGTGGCCAGTTGTCATCATTGAGAACACCGGCTCAAAATGTCCCAATAGGTTGTTGTGCATGTCTCTTTCCGTGCTGTCTTTTTGGCAAAACAACCTCGCGATTCAAGAAAAAGCAGAAAGAGAGCTATTGCAACTTTGATGTAACATGAAGAGACAACCTCCCTCAAGGCCAGAAGTGTTACTGATACAGTACCCTTAGTGTTGTTTATCTTTATACTTGGGACTTGCGCGATACACTGGTTACCACTTACGCTGCAACGAAATAAAATCAAGAGGCACTTTCATATCAAAGGCTCAGCCTGCGGAGACTGCGTGGCTTCTGCCTGCTGCACATGCTGTGTTTTGGTGCAAAATGATAAACAGTCTCGAATCCAGAGAACTACTTCTGCAGAATACACTTCGCCAACCGGGATGTCATACTAAGAAATTTGAAACTATCTATGCTTTGTGTGTTCCATCACTCACCAATATTCATTCTTATTGACGTCCGCTCCAAGGCCAAATCAAGAAAGTGCGTGCTGGCCAAGACGATTCCGAGAACGGCTGTGTTATATTGAAAGGATTTCCACACCCTTGGCCCAATGCTTTTGATTCACATTAACATGTTACTTAAACCGAAACACTCATAAGATGAATATAAACTCCGTGCAGTCAGACACTAGGAGATTTTTTTTGTTTAGTATGGCTCGAATCGTAAATGCACTGTTTGTCTCCGAGTACAGGGAATGGCTTTGGCACCACAGGAATTCCAAAGAGAGTCATAAACCGATAAATTCCTTTTTTCATAGTACACTTTCACTTAATTGGATTTTGAAAATCTCTAGCCAGAACTCATTGCGGGCCCGATTTACTTCGATATCTCACCATAGAAGAGACTGTCAACATTGAAACATTGGAATCCTCTCTTCGACTTGAAAACTCAGCTATACCGAGTCCTTGCGCCCAACATCTGGATTGAATTCAAGTATGAATGATGGCCTACCGGGGCAGACCATAGAGTCCCAATGAAGATCCCATGAAAAGGACAGAAAGATTATTCATGGTCTTTGAAAGACCTTGGCCTACCCCAGATTGCCGGAGAAAAGAAGATCACTTCCGGGTCGATCGTACGGACTGAATCGTCATGGGAAACCTACCGAGAATTGACGAAGAACGAGCTTGCCGGGCCTGTGATTATTGCCTCTCGTCGCTCAAGTTCACACAAAAGGGTAGCTATTCGACAAATTTCCAATAATAGAACTAACGAATTGATTTTCCGTTTTCGACTTTATCAACATCCCAACCTTCTATCACCTCGGGAAATCTACCTGGCCGGAAACTTGACATATGGAACATTTGAAACAGCGCCAGTTTCTCTTGAGCAGCTCGTGAAACATCCTGGTCTTTTTCCAACTGAGGCGGTGCTTGCTTCAATAATGTCCCAGGTACCGCGCCTCAAAGCCAACACAGACCCCTTTAAGCATTACAGCTAATCAAGCAAGCTACTGGCTGGCATTGGTTTTCTGAGCAATCTAGGTTTTACACACCAGTTTCTGACATGTCGTGAGATCCTACTCTGTATGGATGGGGCTTTAAAAATTGGTGGGACCCAAGAAGTTAGCGCAGCGCTTGAGGCTTGTCTGACTCTCATCCAGGTTGTTTAGAGTTTTGCATGGAATATCCACAAGATCAAGGAGAAACCCAATACCTGAGAGCAATACCTTATATCATGATGGGGCTTATGCAAAAGTGCCTGCAAAGTAGCGCCTTGAACAGCGATCGATATTCCTGCTTGCTGGCCGACGGATTCAGCTGCCGTCAAATTTTTCCAAGCCTCCTTATCGGCAAAGACTATCGGTTTTCTTCAGGCGGTAAGCTATTTGTTTCCACAGAGCTCTGATTGTTTTCTCAAGTTAGAACTGCATGGATTCTGAAGCTTCTGTAGCAGTCACTCATTGCCGAGCGCATCCCAAGCACTAGGGACCTTGTCTATCTTGTCCGAGAACTGTGTTCATTTTCACCCACTTCTTGTGTATGAATGGGTTGAAACTGATTTTCATTTTTGGTTCAGGGTGAAGGAGTAAACGGGTACCCCAGTTTTTTTACTTCTTAGGGCAGACGTTTTCCATCCTAATGAAGTCCGCGTTCAAGATCTTATAGCTTTTGTAATATTCAAAGTGTCGTAAAACAAGCAACTTATTCCGCTTTTCGGGCCGCTATAGTACGTGTAGCCAATGGGACGGGGAATTTTCATGTCCGAATTCGAACACTACACTAGAATAAAATATTTATTGGGTCTCATACAAAAGAATCGAGAAACGGACTACGAGATAATAAAAACCTCGAGCGACCTGTCTAAACCTTTGAACACTTCGATAGCGACCTGGGGAGCTCTGACCGATGAAAATTGAACCAATCGCGAGAGCAGAGCTCATTTATTTGTGCAGTTCATAAATTGATCCATTTTTTTAAGAAGGATTCTGTGCCTCATAAGCACGTAGCTGTTAAATCCTGCATATCGTTTGCGAAGTTGATTATAAACCTCATCCACTAGGCTGAGAACGGATTCGTTTTTGGCTGAGTTGGATAAACCAACTCGCGAGGGGTCAGGGTAATGAAAACATCCATCCATCCATCCATCCATACTGCATATCAAGACCATGGTCGAGTCAATAAGTATTTTAAGTGTCTGCCGTAGTGCCTAAATTTTGCACAGAACAAATTTCAATAATAGTCCATTTCCCAGTCCATACAGCCGCATTGATGGAGGGTTTTATTTGCGCTGAACCCCTCGGAAGTTCATCAGAACCCCTCATACAAAAGCGGGCAACGAATCAATTTTTGGCCTGAAAGATAAATCTACCCGCTAAGGTAGATGCAGCATACAAGAAATACGTTTCAATGCACGCACATTTGCCTTGTACTAGCACCGAGCACATTCGAT